ATTTAGATAATATAATGCATACTTCAGTGCAGGTGTGCTTCTCGTCGACAAACGCGCCTCCGATTTGTGTCTCACGATTGTTGGTCTCAATCGCCGCTTATTCTCTACTATTCTCCATAGCCTTCAAATGAGACAACTATTAAAGAGAGCCTTAAATTAAAATCAAAACATACGACCAGCTATTTGTACGAGAGAGAGAAAGAGAGAGAGAGAGAGAGAGAGAGAGAGAGAACTCTATGTATAATTATATGACACTCTCAATGGTTTTGGACTATTATTTTAATAAATTAGATGTCATTGTATTAGATTCAGAGCAAAAAAGGTTAAAAGAGAGAGAGAGAGAGAGAGAGAGAGAGAGAGAGAGTTTAGGGATTTGTCAGTAACCGTGCATTTATAAGATATTATGGAAATACAATCTCAAATTTCCTTTACAAGTAATGATTGGTTAGAAATGTCTGTCTGAAGAATAAAAGGAGAGAGAGAGAGAGAGAGAGAGCGAGAGAGAGAGAGAGAGAGAGAGGACTAAACACAATGTTTATAAGACTGAGAATAAATTGCAGATAAATTTGTGGCAAATAATAGTTTTTGGAAATCCAAACACAATAAGCAAAAGAAGTTATACCATAGAAGAGATAACTCGCTTAATGTATACCATTATTTGACATTTGGCCGCAACAAAGATGTGTCAGTGATTGAGGTAATGGTCATCACATCTCATCGCATATCATACCATAAAATCACAAATTCTATGCTTTTCTAAGCCTTCAGACAAACAGTTCGTGTGTCGACAGAAGAATAAAAAAAAGTTTTCCTCTCGTTTTGACTTATTTTGACTTTTATTTTCATTTTGATGTTTTGGCCATTTTTTGGTTGGGAAACGCCTCAATACAAGTGATGAGGATATTGTTATTGCTGTGCCTTTTCATCATAGAGTTAATACCTTTGCACACATGGTATGCATTTAGACCGTAAATTGTTAGGTGTGGGTGAGGTTGCACTTCATGCCAGCGCTATATTATCATTATATGGGTTATAGACAAGTGAGTGTTGATCATCAGTCTCTGCCCTCAGCGCGAGTGCCACTCATTCATACCATTTCATGATTGAGACCTCCTCTGCATTTTGACTCAAATTAATAATATATTATAAATATCTTTTATACAAACCATTTGTTTTGAAAGAGAGAGAGAGAGAGAGAGAGAGAGAGAGAGAGACCGATAAATAATTAGTGACAGCAATGAGGCGTTCAGTTCTCGCATTATTTACAGTAAAAGTTGATGACTGAGAGAAAGACTGGAAATGATTTATACTGATACACTATAAGAGATGCGGGAGAGAAGAGAATGAGTGGTTAGACAACAGAATTCAGAGAGAGAGAGAGAGAGAGAGAGAGAGATTATATGAACAAAAGTAAAACAAAAAATAGGAAAAGTTTTTATCTGCCGTTCGAGAAAAGACTAATGGATTCAGAATATAATTAATTAAAAGTTATTGTATTTGCTTTTTTGCAATTCACGAATTGTGAGCTCTTTTTTGTCTTTCATTTTCTCTTTCAAATGTAATTCTTTGGTTTGAATTCCCAGTAAATCATTAATTCTTGAACTAAAAGTATAAATAAAAATAAGTACAAAAATTTAAATACATTTACATATATTGTTTATCTGAACCGGAACTCAGACCACTTTTCTTGAAGAGGTATTGATATAACAAGAATACGAGTGGTTATGAAAGTCGTGTGTTTTGTGTTTAATCTTAATTTTTATAATTTATGGTCTCATTTGCAGACAATTAACTGCAACTCTGATTAGAAATCAATTTGAATGTATATTCTATGTGTTGGGAGAAGTAGTGGAGGATTGCGAGCGGTGTCTCATTTAATATGTAAATTATGTTTAATTAAAATAATTGCATAACAGATGGTGTGAAAGAATAAGCGAAACGAATCGTTCGCCAGAATCTTAAGCACATTCTTAATAGTCGTTTGACTAATAAATCATTTCCAGTCTTTCTCTCAGTCATCAACTTTTACTGTAAATAATGCGAGAACTGAACGCCTCATTGCTGTCACTAATTAGTTATCGGTCTCTCTCTCTCTCTCTCTCTCTCTCTCTCTCTAATAAATCATTTCCAGTCTTTCTCTCAGTCATCAACTTTTACTGTAAATAATGCGAGAACTGAACGCCTCATTGCTGTCACTAATTATTTATCGGTCTCTCTCTCTCTCTCTCTCTCTCTCTCTCTCTGAATTCTGTTGTCTAACCACTCATTCTCTTCTCTCCCGCATCTCTTATAGTGTATCAGTAACTGGACATCAAGGTATGGGTCCGCTGGGCATCTCTGTAGCGCACGATCAGCTCAACTCATGGCAGATATTTGGTGTGGAGTTTGTGCTAACATTTCTGGTTGTGTTCACAATCTTCGCGACATTGGATCCAAACCGTAAATCATTAGGAAGTGATTCGCTCTCCATTGGCATCGCATATCTTGTCTGCTCACTGACTGGGGTATAGACACAGCCATTCATACACACCATTTGATTGCATTTTAATTTATTACTTATGTATTTAATGACAAATTATTATGGATTGTGTGTTTCGGTATGTGCTGTCGCGTTACCAGTGTATCAGTCATAGTATTACATAGAAAATACATTATTAACTACAAAACATCATTTATATGAAATGATTATATTTTTTTAAACAAAACAAATGAATTTCATATGAAAAATGATATTTTTCTTTATGTTACACACATTTCTAACGCAGAAAAAGAGTTAGTAATAGACTATTAGCGGGAGAAAAACTAGACATTGATTTTAATCAGACATAACATCCAAGTGGTGGAGAATATATGATCTAATTCTCAGGCGATTTGAGTTTTAGGTAATAATGCAATGATATATAAATGAAACCAAATGTAAGTCCAAAACATATATTACTCCTCTATTTCTACTCTATAGTAGCGTTAGTTTACTGTAGACTCCATACGAAATGATCACTTTTTTACTACACTTTCTCTCAGAATAAATAGCAAGACATTAAGCGAAACAGAATTTGAAAAAACTTCTCATTTAATACCGACTAAAGAATAAATGGGTTAAACAGACGGATAGTCACAACAAAATAACTATAAATGCCAACAATTTTTGCAAAATATTTCTTTTATTTTAAGTTGTATTTTATTGAATGTGTTTTTAAAGCTCAATGTTTGAATATTTATAGGATTGCAATGAATACGTAAGACTGGGATAAGAATTTAAATTTTTTAAATCCCTTTTAGAGTGAATAGAAATGCATTAAACAAAGAAATGAAAACTAAAACCTCAAATATCAGGAGAAATACATTGTTTAAAAAGCATTAAAATTGTTGTAGAGTTTATGTCACACGAAATGAAACAATAGCTGGAAATAGTCTTTTATAATTAGTTTTTAACTTTATTTGCGATTCCATTAAAGCGATCGATAAAATTGATTGAAATTAAATACAAAAGAGAGAAATAAAACAGAAATAATTGAATAAAAGCCTATTCTCTAAAAGTTTTCAAAATCATATATAAGTTAAATGACTCTAAAAAATAAATATACTTTTTATTTCATAAGTTATATTTCCATAAGTATTTTATTACGAAAAGGAAAATACATTTTTGATTTCATTTATAATTCATTTTTCGAAAAAACAGGAAAAATAGGGTTTTAAAATATATTTTACAAATTTATTGATCAGTAAAAGCCATGAATTATATACTTATTCTTATATTTTGGTTATTATATAATCTATTAGAGGGGAGAGAGAGAGAGAGAGAAAAGTGAAAACATAAGCACACTATTGGTCGTACAGTGACTCGTGAGAAAGTGTATTGAGTAAAGCATATGAAAAACAAACACAATATTTCGATATTCAATGTTTGAAGTATTTATTTAGCACTACATCATTGAAATTGAAAAATTAAGTCAACATTTAGTGGCCAAACATCCATCAAAATTCACTTAAACACAGACCACCAGAAGAACAATGAATTAATATAATTATACTTTGCGTTCAGTAAAACTCGTGTTCACTATATTTTGAATGACAGCAATAATATTAGTCTAAAGAAAAATATATATAAAATACCAGAACATTGAGAGAGCTATTAATAAAAGGTGTTCACAATATGTATGGATATATCATATGAATTGGAATACGAAAGGAATATAAATGAGTCTTAAGATGAGATGAGGAGAGAGAGAGAGAGAGAGAGAGAGAGAGAGAGAGAATATTTTTATTAATTTCCCATTGCTTGACAGCGGAGATATATTTTGAGACATTATTTTGTATTTTTAGTAATTCTTTCGTTTCATTAAATCTGCGCTAAAATTAATTTATTTTCTTATTTCTTTAGCAATTAATTTATTTCTCGTTTTATTTTTTAATCATAAGTTATATATAATTTTGGGCTCTATTTACGAGCAAACTCTGGGAATTAAGCGAATTAAATTTGTACGAGAGAGAGAAAGAGAGAGAGAGAGAGAGAGAGAGAGAGAGAGAGAATTGGGGAAATGTATTGAATTATTCTGAGCCTTAAATTACTTTTTGTCTCCTATCGACTCGTTTTAAATAATGCCTCGAAAACCATAAAAATCTCTACAATTTGAATAATTCGCTTAATTCCCAGAGTTTGCTCGTAAATAGAGCCCAAAATTATATATAACTTATGATTAAAAAATAAAACGAGAAATAAATTAATTGCTAAAGAAATAAGAAAATAAATTAATTTTAGCGCAGATTTAATGAAACGAAAGAATTACTAAAAATACAAAATAATGTCTCAAAATATATCTCCGCTGTCAAGCAATGAGAAATTAATAAAAATATTCTCTCTCTCTCTCCTGTAGTTAATGTTTTGCTGGCAAATAAAATAATAGTTTTAAGCATTGATTTTGACACAAAATATCCCAATCCGTGAAATAAATTGTTTGTTAAGTTTCACTATCTCTTACTTTTCTACAGTCAATATAATATACCGTATATTTCTTTTTATACAATTTTATTTAAATTTAAATTAGTTTTATCGACGATTCGTTTAGAAATGGTTTTATTTGTATGATTTGTCGCTCAATTTTTTGTGTTGTATTTCGCAAATTAGAGATAAGAGACAAATGACTGCCACAAGAGTGAAGTGAAGAGTTGATCCATTTTTAGGTCAATAATACAAAAGAATTTAATTATATATCACTCGACGTTAGAGAGAGAGAGAGAGAGAGAGAGAGAGAGAGAGCCTTTATTATCATTTCATCAGTATTTTTATCTATCATTGAATAAAACTCTCGTTTCATATCAATTGATGCGATGAAGCAATAAATACAGTGTCTTCGCCCATTAACGAAGTTTTTGATTTTTTAATTATTTAAAAACTACAAAAGCTATTTTAGTCAAATCAATTGCAAATTAAAGATAAATGTTTGGCATTTTATTTATTATTGTTAAATAAGTGCCAGCACTGCAAACACATGGTTACCGCACGCACTCAATATTCGGTAAAATAAAAAGTCGAAATTGTTTGACTATGGTATCAAAATGCCGAAAGTCCGTCGGCTACTGTTAAAGCTTATTGGACCCAAGTCGACTAACATTCAACAATTACTCAGGAATTAATAACAAAATAAAATTTTTAACTTTTTAATTTTTTCAAAATTTTGTTTTTTGTCTAAATTGAGATTTTAATCAAATTTTTGCAAACTTATGACAAAGTTTAAACGCACTGGTCCTCTGCTTGACGATAAGCAGCATTATAGTGAACGGACGCCTATAGTGGTCACACCCGAAAAAACCGATCGGGTTCGGGAACTATTGGCTACGGGGTTATTTGAAATCTCTAGGGTATGCAAATAACCCCCAGACCATACCTGAACTCAAACAATCGATCGAAGATGTGATTTAAGCTATTTTAATAAAGATGACTAGAGCAGCGATTGATAGGTTTTTTGCTCCCGACTGAACCACGTGATTACGGAAAATGGCGGCCATTTTGAAAATATTTTTAATTAAATGCCATACATTTATCTTTAATTTGCAATTTATTTGATTAAAATAGCTTTTGTAGTTTTTAAATAATATAAAAATCAAAAACTTCGTTAATGGTTGAACACACCGTATAATAAATATTAATATAATATTTGCTCTCTTTTTTATTATTGTTGGCAATACTTATGATTCGAGTCATGGCTTTAATGGTTTATTATAAGAATAGCTCGGATTTAATAATACTTTAATTAATAATTACATTAAATGAGTGAATAAGTCATTTCTCATAATAAGAGGCAAAAGTCGTTAAAACAAAATGTAATTTTCAGACCATAAGAGTTATGTCGAAATATATGTAATGACTCTATCGGTTAGGAAAGAAGTAATATATTTATAATTTTTAATTTTACGATCACTATTACTAGTATGGGTTTTGATGTGTACTTATGCTGTATATATTGTACACTTGTACTGACATACAGGCGCTATCATTCAATTATCTATGGCTGTGGTAATGGCCATTACAGATGCTATCCAACCATCATATTAGTCGATCCAATCTCTTGAGACTCAAATGCATCGAAAAAATGTGCCAAATATTTCTTATATGAATCAACCGATAAGCGTTTGGTTAGTGAGAAGATATATACTCTAAACTTACTTAATTGTAAGAGATATACAACTTTGAGAGTGAGAGAGAGAGAGAGAGAGAGAGAGAGAGAACTGTTGGAAAAGGTCTGAATTTAGAGACAGGAGTAAAGTTAATGTTCTCTTCGGTTGTAATGGAAGTCTAAGTCTGCGCTCATTATTATTGATTAACATAAGAGTGTATTTGAGGCCAAAATCACTACAAAGACAAGAGTTGAGGAGACAATGGAAAGTATAGTTAGTGTTTGAGTTAAAGTATTGCAAAACATCACAAATGCATTACAATTGAGACCGTCTTAGGAATTGAAACACTTTTTTAGCTTAAAACTAAACACTAAACTCAGAGAAAAAGAGAGAAAAATTAGACTTTTATTCTCCATTGAGATAGCATTGGAGTGTTTTGGCAGCGCTTTCGGGCCCTCTTTTCTCATACAATAACTGTTAGGATTGACGTCAATCTGATTGAATGCTTGATTGAGTTTATGTAAGTCTGTAATTAAAGATGGGCTCAACAATGGGCTCAACCATTGGGACCGAGAAATTTAATTTCCATTAAGACTTTTCAAACTATGGTTTGAACGGAACAGATAGAGCACATCCCAGAGCCAGGCATTGACTGAGGCAGAGGCCAAATATTGTATTATATCCATATATACACACATAGAGTATATAAATACAGTATATATCGTACACACGAAGACGTCTTGAGAGTATATAAACTCAAAGAACAATATCATTAACTAAAACGGATCCGCAATTAATGGACTGAATCTGTTTTTATATCGTTTTTTCTGACAATTTCTCTATTCATTTAATTGTAATGAAAAAATTTTCTATTTCTTCAATTTTAAGCACAGATGTATACATCTGTTACCCAATTGTATTGTTTTTTATTTGATCGTAACTCCAGATCTTCCCTCCCTTTTTCCATCTGCTAATTGATTTCATTAATCGATTAGAAAAAAACGAGAATTCAATTAATAATTGAAATTAGAATTAATGACGAAAACAACACATTGTTTTTTGTGTACTCTTTGTTTTTTTCGTGCTATTTTTCATTAAACTAATTGAATGTATTTTTATATCCTTGTTATATGTATTTGGCGTTTGGACTCGCGATGCATTGGCTGTTCATCACTGGTTTCCTTCAATTCTGGTCATCCAATACACAAAATATATCTGTTTATTGAATGAATGGATTGATTGAATAACAGTTACCTGCGAGCGGAGCGTCACTAAACCCCGCGCGCACTTTGGGGCCCGCGTTTGTCATGAATCGATGGAAAAATCATTGGGTATGTTATCTATCATCTCATTTGATTGTTATGTCGATTGTGTGGAGAAGAGAGTTATGTATGAGTGAAAGATGAGTGGAGAGAGAGAGAGAGAGAGAGAGAGAGGATGGAGAGGAGAGTCAGTGAGATATGAAATAAAGCTTATAGAGAAATCTACAGAACTTTGAGAGAGACTACACGTCGTGTTCCCAACATATCAGACATTTTCATTCACTTTTACAATTGATAAGTTGAGGGAAAACTGTTTTCCCCTCTCATATAAAAGTGAATTTTGGTTCATTTTCTTGTAACCAGTTTTTCGGGCGCAAAGACTGTCTGTCAACCAGACATTATCGAGTGGTTAAAAGCACATAAAAATAGTTATATCAATACAAAAGTGACTCTTTTGGGAAATATTTGGACAGTTGTTTAGTCGTAGAGAAAGTCTACATCGAGTTGTATAGCACTGCTTATAAGTGTACCGAAAGATCAAATGAAAACAATTGAAGCAAAGCTTTTAGATTTTGGGGTTTCGTGTAATTCGAGGTAAAGATAGAGAAAGAGAAGGACTCGAGAAGTAACGACAGTCACTGCCATTAGTTCTGTGAGCCCTAAGCCATGTCTACTATAGACTAGTATTGGATTCTGTGAGAGGAAAGTGCTGTTTATGTGTTATTTCTCTCATATTCATACAATTCTGTATATTCTGTGTCTGAATGTTAAGATCGATGCGAACAAACTTTTCGGAGACATGTTATGAGAGAAAATGGCAAAACTCGGCAAAAGTCATATAATAGTCATTTTACTCCAAAGAGTACAGACATTGAATACACAGACAATATATTCCGGATTTTATAACTACTGAACCATTATTTTCCAAAATATATAAATTGTGTGCAAAATATTCTTTGCGGAGAGGAATGGGAATAGGATTTATGTAATGTTATTGTTTGGGGAAAATAGTGTTGACTCGAGTTATCAAAACACAGAGTTTTGCGCAAAAATAGTTGTAAAAGGAGTGAGAAATTAATTGCTTCTGCAATCATATGATAAGCCCTAACACTGCTTGCGGTGAAAAGGCTTCTAATCTTCGCTTAATCTTAATATTGGGATAAAATATTACACACAATAAGAAAGGACTCATATTTTTATTCCCAGAAATAATAAAAACAAAATTTTGTGCCAAAGATTTATGGCATTTGTCTGAAAGTTCTGGTTATTAGGAATCCATGAAAGATAGCGAAAACGCGATGACTTCTAACCATAAGTATTCTCATCTGAAACGTTGAGTGTATTTATAAATACAATATTATTTATTATTAAAGTCTGATTTCCCTCAAGAATTGTATTAAAAAGAGTAAACATTTCTCATTTGAAGATTGACTGAAGAGTCAGCGAGTGATGGGAAGTGAAGGGAGAGATAGAGAGGGAGGAAGAGAGAGAATATTTGACTAAATTTTTAACACATTAAATAAATGTTAAAAAATAATATATAAAGTTCTCTATAGAGAAGTACTCGACTTCTTATGTTAGAAATAAAGTGATAGATTGGTCGACAGTAATGGCGTTAAAATAGAGGCCTGAGAGAGAGAGAGAGAGAGAGAGAGAGAGAGAGAGAGAGAGAATGTGAGGGAAGGGATGATATCGTTTGCCTAATGTATTGATTTTTATTCGACACATTCGGCTTCAACTCCAACTCAATTTCCCATCGTTTTACTCAAGAAACAGCAAAATATGTTTTATCAGACCTTAAAAAACTATAAGAAATAGTAAAAAGACATTGTTGTGAAAGAATAACAGTAAATGTAATGTTATAGAAAAAATAGTATTTTAAAGGCTTATCATTTGCTTAGCCTTTGCTTTGCATCTCGTCTTCGAGACGTTATATATGATATTGAAATCCAATACTAGAGCTTAGAGTTAGAACTTTGGGAACAACGAGAATAAGTATAACAATTTTGAGCGCTTCGTCTATTATTCCGATTCCTTATATTCTATCTCTTTCTCTCTCCTCTTCTTTACAACACTTTATAAGTTATATATATTTTTGTTTTTATAAACGAATCCCCAATAGTTTCAATTTTCGTTTGTTGTTAGCCCTGCCTGTGCTCTCTCTCATGAGCCACTGTTCCGATTCATATACCGTACACTTCGGTTATATTCTAGAAATTAGGGCCAATGCTTGTGATGGTATGGCAACTATTGGGAAGTATTGGTTTGTAAGTTATTTTGTTGAGAAATCAATCTCAAGAGAGGGACAAACTTTTCTCTTCGCTAAATACACGAACATATATAGTGAATGGAGAGAGAGAGAGAGAGAGAGAGAGAGAGAGAGA